TATATATTCAACGAAGCCAGTCCGTTTAAACGATCTTCACCCATAGATGACCGTAGATGGTTTTAAGCCGACGTAATGTTGAAAATGAACTTTCATTAGTCACTGTAGTCACAGGCAAACTAACATTACACGTAACATTTTATGAACATTTGGAAACGCATCTGAATTACAAATATCGAGGGCGTTTCGAATATTTTTACCAGCTTGTTGTCGTCGCCAAATTTCTACCTCACTTATCCAAATTTCTGGGGAATCGTTGTGTAAAATTGAACAATAAGTTTCAAATAACTTTTTACAAGAATCTTTGTCTAAAGATTTTGTTTCAATAGAAAAAAGACATGAGAAGTTTGACAAAAAATTACGATGCTTGAGGAAGCGATCTTGAGGATGAGTAATAAATAGATCAATGTATGGTATGTAAATTATAATTTTATAATAATCTGCTACAGAATCGGTTTTAATATAGAACGGTTAATTTGACGTGAGACAAGTCTAGGTTTAGTCACAGGTATATTGTACTTATTGCAAATATCTTCTACAGTTACAAAAATTGTGTTGAAGTTATCTGTAGAATATTGTCTTCTTTTCTCAAGTTCGTGTTTTGCTGCATCTGTTGACTTCGCGGCCTCAACCAAATCTTGATTTTCCGTTTGTAAAATTCTACTCAGTGATAAAGACAATGCATGTACTAAATGCAAAACGTGAATTGAAATTTGAAATTCTAATGTTTTTATTGCTAATAGTAGTTGAAAAGATCCAGATGTTGTTTTTGAGTCTGTCCAAGTACTCGAAATATGTTCTAAGACATCAATAACTGCTGGTTGTAAATCTATATAAGTTCCAATCGACTCATGCTGTAGTACCCACCTTGTTGCACAATATTTTTTTTTCTTGTCATTATTTTTTATTGCATCCTGAAGTGCAATTTGCCTTTTTGAGGTATTAAAGAAATTATATATATATTGGACATTACCAAGGCAGTTTTTGAATTGAGGGATACTACATGTGACACTAACTGTTAAATTGAAACTATGGGCAGCAGTGTGAGTATAGAGCTAAATGATATTTTTTTCTCATATACGATTGAACTCCGTGAAATTCACCACTCATAATACTAGCACAATCATAATCTAGTCCAAATAAATACGTACAATCTATTCCACAATATTCTAGGAAATTCAAAATGGCATTTGATAAACCTTTCCGTGTTACATCTTAAATAGGCATAAAGCTTAAAAAAATCTTTACATATTTTATAATTACTGTCCTAATAATTTAAATATTGTACACAGGTTGAAAGCTGTTCTATGCCGACTGTATCTGGAGTTTCATCTGCTGTTATAGAAAAAGCTCGAGATTTATTGACACGTTCAATAATCTGTTTTTGAATTAAATTATGAAATATGACAATAAATCCGTTTTGAACACGTTTACTAATGTAAATTGCGTTTTTTGCTGAGCTCGAAAATTACCATCGTTAGTTATAGATTCTTCGGAAGTTATTCAGCCTGAATCATTTAAACCACGAAGGGTCAAACCCTGCCAATCACATAGTATTAAAGTTTCGATTATAGGAATCAAACATTTTTTAATTCCATTAATGAAATCTAATTGTAATTACGAAATTTGTAAGTCTACCGATAAAATGTTTTGATTATCAATTTCTGTTCTCACATTTGATTTTAATAATAAAGTTTTATGGTACTCGAGTGAGTTATGATAACTAAATGATTTTAAAGCTTTTTTCCAGTTGGTAAGTGGTTTTTTAACAAGCTGCTCTAACGTTTGATGTCCAATTCCTCGACCTCGAACAGAAAACAATACACAATACTTACAAAATGCACCATTCATAATTGCCGAATAAGTCAACCATTTATATTTGAGCGACCAACTTCTTTGAAATTTCTTTTTTCGGAAACAGGAAATTGATAGTCTTCTGGAAGTGTCCACATCAAATTTTGAAGTCTCGATATCTAGTCAATACTTGCTGTTGCAGGTTTATTAAACCTATATCATGAGGGTACACAAACTTTAGAATTGACACTGAGACATTTGTATCTGGAGATGCTTTTTCTGCTGGTTCAGTGAATTGTGACAGGTTAGTGAAACTAGTTTCCTATAAATAAAATTTTAAAACTAAATAGATTAATTGAGTAATTATAATAATTATAGTTAATTTTTATATACTTACTATCACATAATTTTCTATCCGTGGTTTTTTAAAAAATGTTCTAATGTCCATTTCGATAATATTGAAAACACCGTGTTTGTATAACTAACGTCTTACACATGATTATGAACATCTTTTAAAATACACGACTTCCGTTATCGTGTCGTACTCGTGTTCTTCACGTCGCCTTCGTGGTCATTATATTTTATTGATAGTGTCTTCAACGAAAGCCGATAAACACCAAACACAAAGTAACACAATAATAGTAGTGTGCTATTATTTTATGCATTATTGTTTTATTACTAGAGCACAAGAATTTTGTCCACCAAAAAAACGAATTATGCGTGCACTTATGTACTTAAAAATCCTGAAATAAGTTCTTATAAATGCATTTTTTAGCGGTTTATTAATGAAATAAACAATTAATATAATCAATTAAAAAAAAAAACATGAAATATATTTTTTCGGGCATGGGTGGGTTTGAACCCCTAAAACCTCCCCCTTGTGCACGTGCCTGCTTATATAATTTCTACTAAAAATTGCCATTTATACATTTTATAAATGCAATTTATTTACAATACTAATGGGTGATAAATAACGAATAGTAAAATTACGTAATATTTTAGAATAATTTCTCACAATTTTTATCTAAATTTTTTTAATTTTTTGAGGAACAAGTTTATCAGTTATAAATAGTTGTACTAGATTAAGAAAATAATTATAATTAATTCAAAATAGATCTTTTATTACAAATTTTTGTTTTCATATTACATTATTATTTTATTTTTAATATCTTTTTAACTTCAACTACAATATAATATTTATAATAATATAATAAAATGATTATCATTTTTAACAACATTGATTCAACATTGGACATGAATTAATGCAAAAAAACTTAATTTTAACAGGTTTTTCAGTGATTTTTAATGGCTTTTTGAGTTTAATATTTTTTAATTTTAAAGAAATAATATTTTTAATATAGTATTAATTTTGAATAATATTAGCCACAAGTGATTAATTGTTATTATATATTTATAGAGATGTGAGTCGGTATTATACATGTGTATTATACGGTATGATACACGCGTATAAAATTATTTTATACCGGCTGTATCAAAAAAAAAAAAAAAATGCTTTATCAACATTTATATTCTTTTGGATTTGATTTTAATTGATATACGCAATTGTAATTAATGATATAGATGGATTGCATTATTAGATTTAAATGTATCTATAATCGTGAATATTATTGTAGATTAATAGATATATTTTTAAAACATAATTAGTTGTCAGATCCGCCAGGGAAACATGGTTATCATAACAAACAAAAGCAATTGACTTGTGTATGGTATAACCGTGGTCTCAGTATGTTTTTAGTATTACCACACAATAATCTTGTCACATTTTAAGCGCCAACGCATGTCGGTTCAAATGGAAGAAAATAAAAGCACAGAACAGGTGAATCTATTCTGTGGTAAAAGTATTTTGTTTTGTGATTTAAATTGTTTAAGTTTAAAGTATTATTTGCAAATTACGAACTAAGATGGGTCGTTCATCAAAGCAAAAACGAGAATGTAACAGATGAACTATTTGATAAAGTCATGACATATACAAATTAAGATTATAAAATATTTCATACTTTATAAAAATTAATTCTTAGTACTCTGTGTTACTAAAATTTATAATCGATAAGGTGCTTAAGTTATTTTTTTTAAGGTAACAAATGTTAATACAATTATCAATTTTAAGATTAATAGTAAGATGCCATATTTTAATTTTTTAATAGTTTATTTAAAGGATAGGATTTTTTTTTGTTAAGAAAAAGTGAGTTTTATTATTTTATTTATTATGTTATTAAAAATTTTAAGTTATTAATGTGGTAAAATTCCAATTGTGTATTTATACTTGTTTAAAAAGCAGACTTCTCAGGCATCATGGGTGGTTTCTGGTTGCAAATTGACTATAGTTGGTACTTAGTTGATACTAAATCATCCTCTAGACAGGAATTCTGGATAGAGAAATATCTTAGTTCAATACTTTAACTAATTACTCCCTGAACATTTTGTTTTCATCAATTTTGCTAAAGGCTTTTTCAGTAAGTACTCATTTATTTATTGCGTTTTATGAAAAATAATCACTCTAAAGTTTATTTTTTCCCAAATTTTAAGGTGCCACAAGGATTTATACGGTATTATACAGTATTATACGTGTATTATACGATATTATACAACAAAAAAATAAAATACGGTATTTTAACAACTCTAAATATTTATAACAAATAGTTTTTTAATTAATTTCGACCTATAACAAGTATAAAAAAAATTTTTAAGTGTTTAGGTAAAATATCAAGTGAGAAAATGAATAGCTATTCATAGCTTAATTCTATGCCTGTATAAATTACACTATATGTTATTTAAGCGCACAACATATTTCAGGGAATCAGACGGTTGTTGTCACGCGACGGCAAACCGAACACGCCACAGATGACGGGCGGCCTTAGCATATACGCGGTAATTATTATTCAGTATAACTACGACCCCTGGAATTATTTGGAAGTTCTCGTCAGTAGCGGACGGTCCGTGTTTTAGGCCATCGACTTAAATATTGTACTGTTTTGTCAAAACACTTATTAATCAGACGTGAAAAGTGACTTTTATCGTTTGTTATGATGTCGTAGGCACGACAAATTTATTGACACTTTCCAGTTCCGTTTCATCTTTACGATATTGATGTATGAATACCCATTTTATGCCTGAAATTTATTTATTTATTGTTAATTTTACACTAGTTTTAGCTTCGATGCGAAGCTGAGAAGGTATTGGTTTTACTATGATGTGTTTTTTTTTTTTTTTTTCTGTCTGTTACCACTTTTTCTCAGCTCTCACCGAACGGATTTCTTTCAACGATACGTCAAAAGATCACAAATCGTATCTAGTCGAAGACATTACCCTTCAAAATTGAAAAAATTTCCCTCGTTCCCCGTAAATGGGGGAAACCTCCAAAAAAATTACAAATTTAAAAATCGCTAATTTTCGAAATTTTTTCAATTTTTTTTACTAAAAACTGCCTAACCTTTTTCAAAAATGAACATATGAATATAATTTTTTTTTTATAGATGCTTGATGTCTTTACCTATCATTTGGTATATTTTTTAGTAAGTTTGACCTTTTTTCTGCCCACAGAAGGGGATTTAAAATGACCAACTTTTTCACAAAAAATTAACTTTTTCAACTTAACTTTTGAAAATGTTCCGGAAGGTCTGACACTTTTATATATATCTTAAATTAAAGCTAATGTAATGTACTTTATTATGAAAAAAAAATTTGACCCCTCTGGACTTGTCTTCATNAAAAAAAAATTTGACCTCTGGACTTGTCTTCATGATGAAAACGGCTACCGAATGCTATTATAGTGTGAAATTTCTCGATTTTATATTTTACATTTTTTACTATAAAATGCTATAACTTTTTAAAAAATCTATGGATCAATACAATTTTTTCATGAGAAGTAGTATCTATATACATATTTCATTCGACATACTGTTTTTTTAAATCAGACCATTTCCCTATATATGGGGGGGCTTAAAATATAAAAAATGCATATATAAAGTAGAACTTTTTCAACTTAACTTTTGAAAGTGTTCCGGAAGGTCTGACACTTTTATATATATCTTAAATTAAAGCTAATGTAATATACTTTAATTTGAAAAAAAAAAATTTGACCTCTGGACTTGTCTTCACGGCGAAAATGGCTACCGAATGCTTTTTTCGTGTGAAAATTCTCGATTTTATTATTTATATAATATTTAACTTTATAATGCTATAACTTATTGAAAAGTTTATGGATCCACACAATTTTTTTATGAGAAATAATATTTTTTAATAAACCCTTTTTCATTTGACATACTATATCTTAATCAGGATATTAATAAGGAACTAGCAGATCATGTAGCTTTTGGTATAATAAACCAATTTTTTAAAATTAAACACTATCTAAAGATTTGCATCGAAGCGTTTTTTTTTTATGGTGATTTTAATCACTGTCAGATATCATTATACTTGATCCAACTATGCCATGTCACCACTGTGCCGCAACCCCCCTGTGCTGGGTTTTTTTTTGTGTGATTCGTTTTTAAATTATGAACATTATAAAATGTTAATTTTCAAACTTAATTTTAATTATTAATTTACAATTAATACAAAAATAAAGAAACAATGGGGCTTATAGATAGAGCTATGAATTAAAACAATTTACTTTAATTATTTATTTTTTGGGCTTCAACGGTTTATATTTTTTTTATGAAAAAAATATTTTCTTTGTCAGCAATAATTCTACCGGATCTAAATAATTTTTTACTTAGTTTTCTTAATTTTAAAACTAAAAATTATACCCCTGAAGTATTACATTGTATACTTTGCACAGATGAAATGCCTTTAAAAACTAACTTTTATTGCTTAATTAAAAGAGCCTGTTATTTATGTTAATAATTAAGGGTATAAATGTAAATTGGAAGCAATCCAAAGTATATTTTTTAATTTCTAATTCATATACTAGTTAGAAATAAAGTTGATTTTTTTTCATATTTTTTTATTTTGAATTTTTATGTACTATTTTACGGTTATAAACATTGAAATACCTATTGAGAAAAGGACAGAAGAAAACGCTATCTTTTCATGATTACTGTGTATACATATGATGATAGTGTGTATACATTACAAACTTGGCATTAATACCATGATAAGAAATTAGATAAGGCAATTATTACTTATCACTCTCATTCAAAAGTATATTGAAAAGTAAATTTTCACAAACTTCAAAACGCTACAGAATATTTACTACTGAATATTAATAAGATATTTTTTTACTAAAATTTTTCTTAAATTTTACTCTACAAAATAGCTATAGATTTTTTTTATACATTTTATTTAAAATTTAAAAATAATTAATATTTTTAATAAAATGTAAAAAAATTAATTATTGAGATATAGCTATAGACCTAACGTATAACTATTATTTAAAAAAAAAATCAACTAAAAATATTAACTGGATCAAAAGTTATTTAAGTTGTCAGTGAGTGGTGGGCCACTCTGTATATATAATATACTTGAACGGCTAATCAAGTATAAATGATGTTTACTTAAATACATAATTTTTTTTTCACTAAAAAATTAAAATTGCAGTAATGAATAACTATGGGAAAATATTTTAAAATTATTCTAAGAGATACTTTTTATTGAAGTGTAAATATTATAAACATATTTAACATTCATTAGCGGATTATATAAAATCGAATTATTTAATCTGCAATAGAGTTAAAAAGACTAATGTAGGTAGATTTAAGATAGACCAAAAAGTTTACCAATAAATAGTACAGTAAAGATACTCAAATTTTGTCTATTTTTTGAAATTCAATTGATATGCATATTGACTTTTGTGTATTCATGCATAACCAATTATTTGTGCAAATTTAAATATAATACCGCTAGTTATAGCTATAAAAAATTGTCAAATTAAATATAATAAAATATAACACATATTATTATTTTAAAGGTCGCAGTAGAAAGTAGAAATGAAAATAATAATAATAGTGATTATACTATCATAGCAAACGATAGCGACGAGCGTACACATAATTAATTTTAAAAATAAATTACTCATTGTAGTAATATACTAATATTTTACTGTAGAGACGATGCTGCCGGTCGTCCAAAAGCCATTCATAAGATTACAGCTAAACCGTTTAAAAAAAAAAGTATAATTAAGAATATACAATTAATTTTCTTCTTTTAATTAATTTTAATAGGGGGTGTTATCGTCCGTCGTCCAAGCCACGAGTCGCCACTGCTTATATGTATTGTTATTGTATTAAGGCAGGTTCGAGTTATTAGTAAATCAAAAAGTGCATCATCTGGGTTTATCTTATCCATGCTGGTATTTTGTTGTGTGGATTTATATTGGAATTCGTTGGCTTTTTGTTGTGTTCCGCCAAAATTTCATGCTATGTGTAATTCCCCAAAAACTATTACAAGGTACAATTGATAACGGGAGGTAGACTATACTTAAATCACAGAATAGATAAGATCTTATCTATTCTGTGGTTAAATTAAAAACTTGATAAATTTTGGTAATACTGCATTCTAGATCTTATGGAAGGTTTGAGGTGGAGCACCCACCCACGAAAACTGTTAAATAAGTATATTTTTTGGTGTATTTTTCTAATTATGTGAAAAAATTACTGTAATTTATATAAAATGTCTCATTTATATTTACATATAATTATTAAATCAGTATTTTTCGAGAAGTAAATCCCGAGCTAGCTTAAAATATCAATTGGATCTAGTTTCAAGTTTGACTGCAAGATGTCGTCAAATGACTTATTATATACGATAGCGTTCCTTTTACTCTTTGGAGCCATTATAATAAAAATTAATTTTACACGCGCACGACCCATGGCTTTTCATCAACATGTTAACTTGTTATAATTCTGCGCATGCGTAGTGTATTTAAAACAAGGTTATTTTCTGTATTCAACTCTTATCCGATTGATAGAAGTTATTAGTTCTTTTATGGATAAAAGCTGTAGTTTTTATTGTAATTGTTTTGACAAAATAAAATAAATTTATGTTAAATTATAATCAAAACCATTTATTTAGTCAATTAGAAATTTATTAACACGTTCGAGATAGCCAAATGAATGAAGTGTTTATTTTTTATAATGTGTGTTGATATCCAAAATCATACATAATTATGAGTTTTTTCATACGAATTACTTCTGACTGATCAATTTATGTTGCTTTTATTTATTTAAAAAGTGAAGTGTAGTTATTATGCTATAAAGAAATTTTGTAGATTATGAGTACGTAGTTCCAAGACTTTAACAAAATTATTATTTTTAAGAAATCAATTGAATTTTGAATACAAACATTACATTTTCTACTGTTACTATGAGAAAAATAAGTGGTAAGTGTAATTATTCATTTAACTTGTAGTATATCTAAAATGGAACAAAGTAAATATTGATCGTAACTCAACTTATAATATGTAAAGTAAATTATTATAATGAAATTGATATAATATTTAATTGATAATTATTACTATGTTTTCATACACTCAGCATTATTTTTTGTGAAATTATGATTTTAATAATTATTTAGATAAATTAATTTGATAGTGACATACCTTTTAGATATATTTCCTTACTATTTGTACTCTTACGTTAATGTTTTTATTTAAATATATATAATGTCAATTATTTTAGAAATTCAATTGTAAGCAACTTTAATTTATATTGTTTCTTTTATTTTAATAAAGCAGTATGCATACATTATCTTTCATCTTAAAACTAACCCAATAATTAATCTTATATTTAAAATAATATTTAAAAAGTAACAATTAAAATAAAGATTCTAAGGAACATTGTTAAATAAACTTGTTCATATAAGCAAAATAATTAAAAATTTAATTTAGTCAGCCAAAAGTCTTTCATAGTTATTAAAGGATTAGGGATAGTCAGAGGGTTAAAAAAATTAAATATTTTAAATCATTTTTTTTAGTAGTATTTTAATTTATACAAACTGTCTTTTCTTTAAGTATTTTATAAATAATATCTAACAAATTAAATATGCATGAAAATTAATTTTGTTTCATATAAAATATTTTTATTTAAGTCATTCTGAAGACACCCAAGTATTAATTTTTGTGCAGGGTGGCTACATAAATTTTAGCATCTCTAATTATTTTCAAGATTGCCCTTTTAAATTATATAGATAAGTAAAAAGTCCTTAAAAATTTTTTTTAATCATCATCATCAACTATAATTTATTATCAAACTTATAGTATAATATGTTCATATTTCATATTGCTGCTTAACTGATAAACTACAATTATCAAATAGTATTTATGTCAAGGTATCAAATATTATTAAATGAAAAGTAAAATTTAATAACTTAAAAATTGAATAAAATCTTTCATTTTTGTGTTACTTATTGTTGATGATATCAATATTTATGACGGATACTGATCCGTTAATGGGAAGGATGAATTAATAATGTATTTATAATTATATACAAGTCTAATTGTAAGTGAGATAGTAACCTCAATTACTATGGTTCTAAAATTGTAATATTACTGAAATTTTCATTTACCTACTTTTAAATCAATTTTACAATCAAATTAAATAGGCAAATAAAAATTTGAATATCATTACCAAAGATGGTCAATTTAATGAAAATAAATAAGTCAAGTTAAGTTAGAATGATGTCAATAAGTTAATAATTAATTAATGTGATCAAATTATGAATTAAATGAGCTAAGTTAAATGTTTTTTTTAACACAACTCAATTTTAATAAGATTATTCAATCCTTTTGTTCCTTAATTTTTTATTTAGTCCACAATCTATTTTTTATTAGTTAATGATTGTAAGGAAGACTAAGAATTTTTTTGACTTTCCACTTTGAAAACAAAATAGGACAAAAATATTAGTGATAACAAGAATATTTTTTATCTGTTTTGTTGCTTGATGATATCGTTTTGTAAATTTTGCTATTGGTTATATTGTTCTGTCTTTAAAACTATAGTTGTTATTTAAAAAAAACTCTAAAAAATTAGTTAGACAATCATATATCATTTTTTTCTTTCTAGTTTTCTAATTTATAATGAGCAAGTTTAAAAATTTCCACCTCACGAAAAAATGCTGAAAAATAATATTTATTGTTGTATAATTATATTATTTAAATTAACATGTTTATAAAAAACTAAATTAGAAAAATAATCAACTAGTTAAATTAAAGTTAAAATAAATAAATTTTTAACTAGTTAATTTACACTTTTGATCATAGCAACCAATAAATTTAATATAATATCTATGTTATCACTACAACAAAATAATTCGTATCTGTGCCTGATTTCTGATAACAAATTATCCATATTGGAAATCAAAAAAATATTTATTATGCTCCTTATTATTAATTTTTGCCCCTAAGAATTTTTAGGGATTCTTTATTTCTTTGAGCCACTTTTAAATATGACCCCTAAACAAAATGTATAAACACTAAAATTCCTCTGTCCTATTTACTATAGCTATAAATTAAAGAAATTTTAGTACAGGCATATTTTAGTGGGTTTCATCTATCCAATTTAATAATTAGATTTGTACATTTTTTTTTCTTTCATTATTAAGTAAAAATAAGGGTTCTTCCCATTTAAGAAAGTTGAAGTTTTTTATCCATGAAGGGATGAAAAAAATAATTATTTAACTTTTATAGTTTTTTTAACCAAATAATTTATTTCTTTATAAAAATTTAAAATTTTCAACAATTTCTGTAAAAGTGAGTGTTTTGCCTAAAATCAATCACTCTATATATTCAAAATATAAATATAATTATCATTTTGTAGAAAATTATGGTGAAAAGTTTTTAATAGCAATCTCAAAGAAATAAAATTAGATAGTTTAGAAATTTAAATGCATAAATCGATTTTATATAATGAGTATTTATAAAATAATAGTGAAAGTGAATCCAATCATTTTAATAATAAAATAAATAGTTGTAGCATATTATTTAATTTAGGAACACTGTAAAATAAACAAAACACTTCTATTCTTATTTTTATAGTACAGGCTGAAAAACAAAAACCANATTTAATTTAGGAACACTGTAAAATAAACAAAACACTTCTATTCTTATTTTTATAGTACAGGCTGAAAAACAAAAACCAATAAAATTTTTTAGTGTATCAAGACTGTACCAAAGTCTTTATTTAAAAGGGTCACCCCTTGTCCACTTTACCAACAGACTTAACATTTGATTTGGCCAACTACCATATTTAAAAAAAACCCAGCACAGTGGGGTCGCGGCATAGTGGGGATGTTGCATAGTTGGGTNAAAAGTTCTTTTGGTTAACCGATGTGATTTCAGGGAGCAATTTGCCCCTCTCACTTTATTACTTTAATTACTCTGGTAAAAAGAAAAATTGAAAAAATTTTAAAATATAAACCTTGATGATTTCTTAAAATATTTCTAAGTAATTTTCATTTATTAATTAATGGTTTATATTTATTGTTATTTTACTGGATATTACTATTAAAAGCAGTGGCGTACCTAGAATTAGGGGAACGTAGTAAAAAAAATTTTTAATTTCATATGTTGGCCGTTTTTTTTTTTTTTTTGCTTATCACTTTATTTTAGAAATTAATATCGTTGTCAATAGGGGCATGGCTCCCTTGCCTCCTGGATACGACACTAATATAAAGTAAAAAAAATATATGTACAAGGTCATTGATTTGATTATACTACCCATAAGTCGTCGAACTAGCATAGAAAATAAGAGGAGGGGAGATTCAGAATATCGACCATATGGCGAACATTGTGAAATTCTTAAGCTGCCCACATTTATTGTACCTGGTACTGTAAGCTACTTTCGTCCTAAAGTGCATATTTATCATTTGCATAATCTTAAGAAACAAATTCAAGTTATTAACTTGCATTAAACGCTAGAATTTTTATAGTTCTTTAGATGCGATGTTTAATTTAATGTTATTATTAATTGTATAGAAATATAATGCACATTTTTTGATAATTATTAATAATTTTTAGTAACATAGTCAGATTAATTGAAAATGCATCTATAGAAAGCTTTTTGAGAACGTACTTTTCATTCATAAAATAATAATAAACGAATAATTTTTTTGTCTTTTTACAACTAGAAAATAAAATTCCTTGGAAAATATTTTTAATACTTAAATTTATCGAGATATTCTTATAAGTTCATAGCTCAAAACAATTACTGGTAAATCATAGCATAATTAGATAAATATTTTACACAAAAAAATGTAATTAAAATTTTTTAAAAAATCGAAGTTAATGAAATATATAAATGGCTTGTATTTTAATCATACCGAATCTACTAATTGTTAAACTGGAACAATAAATAAATTTATCATATTTTTTAAGAATAGTTGTGATTTAAAATCTTAAAAAATATATAATTAAAAAATAAAAAAAAGGAAGAGAATTATCTACGGGTTAGATTGCTCAAATAAAGTATGTCATCCAAAAAATGAATATATATATATATATATATATCTAGGCGTTTATTGTCATAAATTACTTTTTTTCAATTTTAAACCAATACAATGTACTCAATATTAATATATTAACAATTCATTATTGTTATGCCGTTTGTTGGAACAACCGATATTTTTATTCATTAATTAAAATTATTATGAAAAACAAATTTTTATCGGGTTGTGTTTTAAATATATTTGTATGCTTATATTCTACGTAGGAACAGGATTTTTAAGATGTTTGTCAGATATTGTGAAAACTCGTAGATGTCGTTGTATATTTGGCGTTACGAGGTAACCGCGTGGGCTCTTTCGATATCTTCTGGAACCAGTCGTATGGTCGTGGGTTGTTGTCGATTGTTGTAGGTCGGTCCTCTTTCTTTTGATTTTAATGTGCGATCAGTGTTCGTCGGATAAATTATGTTGTTGTGTATTAAACTGAAGATTTAAAAAAAAAAACTATTATTTAATTGTGTTTGTCGTAGTGCTTTATTTTATTTTTTTAATGTAAACTTGTTGCTTATGGTTGGCTCAAATATATCTTAATTGCCGTAAACAATTAAACTCTATTGAAATTTATGGTCCTTTGTTCTTTAGCAAGGTTACTTAGTGTTAAAAAAATTATAATTCAAATTTAAAAAATACTATAGTTAAACAAGCATTTAGTTGTGAGTTTTTAATTTAAAACATTATTTTAAGGTCAGTATTAATATTGTTGAAAATGATACTGAGCTTAGCAGTGTTGGATTAATTTTCGAGTAATCGTATTTTGTACACATGGTTCAACTGATTTTTTCAAATATCAATTGTCTTAATATAATATGAATACAATTGTTTAATACAACGATGCAGCATAGTATATAATTATTTTAAAGTTATTTGGGCCATCACGTCGCC